TGTCAACCGCCAGCGCAGGAAAGCGAAGGGATGTGGAAGGCTGATAGTGTGCGAGCGGTTTTTTTTTTTTGTCCCAGTGGGGGGGGCAGCGTCAGACAAATATAAAGGTATGGGGAGTAGGAAGTTGGAGGTGGAGAATCCAACGGCGAGAGGGGCTTGGGAGAAGCAGCAGACGATGTCATGAATGTTGAGTCGTTGTGGTTGCGTTCATCTTTGTTTGATGGGTTTTATTTTTTTTTGTTTGGGAGGACGTCCTTGGCTGGCGGGGTGCCGACTGGTTCCAGTAGCTCTCCCTCCTGCTGGCAACCTTTTTTTTTTTTTTCTAATTCTCTTTCCTGCGTCCCCACTTCTTTTGAGGCCTCAGCAGCAAGCGAAGACTCGTGACTTTATTTCAGACCATTACAACCCGGAAAGTTAACAGACATGGCGACGCGCCTGAACAACCTGCTGCAGCACATCGCTGTGAAGGACAACGACAGCGACACGATGCGGCACGTGAAGCAGCGCATGGCGATGGCGTCCCTCGCGAGCCAGTTCACGGTGAGCAAGGACCACCTCAAGCAGCTGACGATGTACATGATCCACGAGATGATCGAGGGGCTTGAGGGCCGCGAGAGCACCCTGCGAATGCTCCCGTCGTACGTGTTCAAGGCGGATCCCAGCAAGGCGACGGGCGCCTTCTACGCGCTGGACCTCGGGGGAACGAACTTCCGTGTGCTGCGTGTGTCGTGCAAGGATGGGAGAGTGGTGAGCCGTACGGACTCCAAGTTTGTGATTCCGCAACAGGCGTTGCAGGGTGATGCAGCGGATCTCTTTGACTTTGTCGCGAGCAGTGTGAAGAAGGTTATGCAAGATAAGGCCCCGGAGGATTTGAACCGTACCTTGCCGCTTGGTTTCACCTTCAGCTTCCCGACGGAGCAGAAGAGCATCAACCAGGGTGTGTTGCTCAAGTGGACGAAGGGCTTTTCGACGAAGGGTGTGGAGGGCAAGGACGTGGTGGAGCTACTGCAGACCTCACTGAGGCGTGTCCACGTGAAGGTGGATGTGGTGGCGCTCTGCAACGATACTGTCGGCACGCTCATTGCACGCTACTTTGTGGACCCCGACGCGCACGTGGGTGTGATTATTGGTACAGGCTCCAACGCGTGCTACTTTGAGGATGCCTCCGCGGTGAAGAAGGATCCCGCCGTGGCCGCGCGCGGCGCGGCACAGACGGTGATCAACATGGAATGCGGGAACTTCGACTCCAAGTACAAGTTCGTGCTGCCCTGCTCTGCGTACGATGAGGCAATGGACGCCATCACGCTCAATCACGGCTACCAGGCGCAGGAGAAGATGGTGTCCGGCATGTATCTTGGCGAGATCGCCCGCCGCATGATTGTGCACCTCGCCGAGCTGCGCTGCCTATCACCCTCCCTGGCGTCCGCGATGGCCAAGCCGTGGAGCTTCGAGACGAAGTTCATGGGTATGTTGTCTGCGGACCGCATGCCCGGGCTGCAGTTCACACGCAGCGTCATCCGCAAGCTGTTCAACGTGGACGTGCCGAGCGTGGAGGACTTGCATGTGATCCGTGACGTTTGCCGCCTGGTGCGTGGGCGCGCTGCACAGATCAGCGCCATGTTCTGCAGTGCGCCGCTCGCGAAGACGCACAAGCAGGGCTGCGCAACGGTCGCTGTTGATGGGTCTGTGTACGAGAAGACACCGTCATTCCGCCGCCTGCTGCAGGAAACAATGAACGTCATTCTCGGCGCGGATTGCAACGTGAAAATGGCTCTTGTGAAGGACGGCAGCGGCATTGGCGCCGCCTTCATCTCTGCGCTGGCCGTCAACGACAAGTAGTAGAAGTTATCACACATGGCTTTTAATGTATAACTCTCGCCAATAATTAAAAAAATTAGCATTATTTTTGTTATTTGTTTTTATAAATGCACGAGCCTACATGCCCCTTTTGGCGGTGTCAACCGCCAGCGCAGGAAAAGCGAAAGGGATGTGGAAAGGCTGATAGTGTGCGAGCGGTTTTTTTTTTTTTGCCCAGTGGGGGGGGGCAGCGTCAGACAAATATAAAGGTATGGGGAGTAGGAAGTTGGAGGTGGAGAATCCAACGGCGAGAGGGGCTTGGGAGAAGCAGCAGACGATGTCATGAATGTTGAGTCGTTGTGGTTGCGTTCATCTTTGTTTGATGGGTTTTATTTTTTGTTTGGGAGGACGTCCTTGGCTGGCGGGGTGCCGACTGGTTCCAGTAGCTCTCCCTCCTGCTGGCAACCTTTTT